ACTTTCATAATTGTACTTTGGACCGTTCTTTGTTCTCATCTTGTTTATGACTTCGGTCCCGAAATCTGAGTATCCTGAGTCGTGGGAAACGGGCGATAGTCATATCAGCGGTCCATTTGAATTGTTTAGTCTATGGAGTTTTTAATAACATGGAAATTTTCCATGGCTTGTTGACAATTAGGTTTCGATTTCTCTGAGGGTGTCTTAAAGTAATGTGTACGTGTGTATGTATGTGTGAGTAAGTAGACATGTACATATAGGTTTATGGTGCTATGGATATGTCACTATATACATTTACCAGCCCATTAAAAATCGTCAACATTTGAAATCGAGAATGGGGGGTCCCCTTAACGGGGTCTTCTAGTCTAGAAATTTGAAAACATCGAAAATTTTATATTCAAAAATATCTCCCTAAAAGGATTTTTCAAAACTCAAATTATTTTCAAAGTTATAGGCGGTTTAGTGACGTGGCAACTAGTCCGGTTGAGCGAACGACTAGAACAATAGGTGGCTGGAGGCCCGGGCTACCTGAGTATGAATAACTTTCTCTCCTTTTTCTATAACAATACCCTTATTTCCAGTATACTTCACTAATCGTTTGAAAGTCATTGTATGGACCTGGAATAGCTGATTAAGATAATGTTAGTTATAAGTAATATTCTATCAGTTATGCTGCCCGAAACTTAACGTAAAACTTTAAACGCGTTTTTCTCGAAACTCCTTTTTTTGATGTGGTTGCCACTATATCTCAAGATCTAATCAGTCGATTTACTTGAAATTTGGCATGAATATTCTTTAAGTATATCTCTATCGCCGAAACCAACAAAAAATAAAAATTTTAAATTTATAATATTTTTCAAAATTTCACAAAATTGAAAAATTAGTGAAAAATCAACTTTTTTCTTTGAGTAGCGGCCATTTTTTTTTTTTTTTGGCTTCATGGCATAGCGACATTTGTACTCATTAAGAATCTATCATTGTTTTATTTTTTAGATAACGACAAGCATAGAAATCATGATGACGAGGACACGACCTCTTTTTTCCCCCTCTTCTTCAAGAACGAATACCTTAATAAAAACAATTTTTTTTTAAATTTATTTTATGTACTCTTTTAAGTTTAATAAACAAATATCTATTGCTTTTTTTTATTAATTGTTAAAAAAAGGTTGAAATTCGAGCATCTAGACTAGAAGACCCCCTTAATAGGCATGGTAGTGACTTATAGGTCTATAGATGAGGCGGCTGTGTGGTCTTTTCCAGGTTTAGGTTTTATTATGATTATTGACTTCTTCCACTTCTCAAGAAAGTAGCCGACTCTCATTAAGAGCTGGCATATGGTGAAAATGGCACATTGTGGAAGCTCAATAATTATCTTCGGAGTTATTAGATTGCATCCTGGAGATATTTGTGATTGCTGGTGTTCCTTTATGACCTTGGCTATATCACTCGGCGTAAATTCAATGTGATCGTGTATAGGTAGCACGCTTGATGCTGGGTTTGGCTGGAAGACATTTTGAAGATGGACAGTGAATGTGTCGGGTCTATATTTGTCACTACATGCCCAATTACCAGATGTAGTCCTTATTGGGTTAACGATTTCAAATGGTGTTCTTACTGTGAAATGAGACATTCACAGGGGGTTCTTTGAGCGGCTTGGAGATAGTTGCCCGAAATAGCGCAGTTGGAATCTCTCGATTTCTGCACTTGTGTATCTTCCGTTGTACCTTCAGTTTCTTCTTTGGGGTGTTGAGATCCGATCCGCTGAGACCAAAACGGACTCGAGTGTGTTGGTGAAGCTCTTTATGTCTTTTACATTGCTTAGCCGTGGGTTTAGCTCAATGTGCGAGCTAACGAACTTTTTAAATTTAAGCCAGTTCATTCTGTTTGATGTTATTTTGGAAGGATTGTCTTTGGTTTCTAGCTGGTGTAGACTAAGAAGCACAGGCGAGTGGTCCGATGATAGGTCTGACAAAGAACTGGCGCTGATCAGAGTGCGTGTGATATTTTTCGTAACTGCGAAGTCGATCAAGTCTGGCCGTTTTCTGTGATCTTTTGCAGTTTGTGGGTGAAGCAGGTGAAATACAGTCTAAAAAGTTTGTAGCGAACTAATTCTGGAAGTGATGCTTTATGCAGTTTTTGATTAAAATTCCGGTGCCTCCATGTGCTTTTCCGTCAGGATGACTTGTACTGTAGAACAAATAACCAACGGATTTATAAATTGTATTTGATTGTAAGGTGTGTTGTAGTATGCGCATATATTGAATATCTACTGTAAACACACTGTAACTCTTTGTTGCAGTGCATTCATAAAGGCCCGGTCAAAAAACCCAAGTGGCCGAACACGAGTCGATCGGCGCGTTAACAGAAAGTGCAAGTGTCAGCATTCTGTTACACGCGCCGGCCGAACTCAAGTGCATGCATATACCCTCGCGCTCCAGCTTAAGAGAGCATAATTTAATACATATAATATATAGGTACATAGCCGTCTCTCTGCCGCCGCCTGCGAGCAGCGCAGTTACGGGACTTAGCCTTAATTAGACTTAAAGAATATTGTAAAAGAACAGAGACATTTTGATCGTTGGAGCGGCACCTTTGCTGCTCCTACTAAATAAAAAAAACACAAATTGGAACCAAACAGAATAAACTTATTTCATGGCGACCGTGACAGGACGTCACAAGGAGCAGCGAATCGGGAAGATTAATAATACAATGAGGATACAAGGAGGATATACACAAAAAAAAAACACGTCTGAGTGAGTAGAGTGTGCGTGATGGTACGTGGAGGTCAGAAGAATAAAATTAATAAGAGAATAGCCCGCATAAAGTGGCGTCAACGTAGCCAAACAGGCGACGAACAGTTGACGTAGAAGGAAGAAAGAGAAACCAACCAAGCTGGAAGCAAAAAAAAAATTTTTTTTACCCATGCACTGCGTTGCATAATTTTTATACCCGTTACTCGTAGAGTAAAAGGGTATATTGTATTCGTGCAAAAGTATGTAACAGGTAGAAGGAAGCGTTTCCGACCATATAAAGTATATATATTCTTGTTCAGGATCACTAGCCGAGTCGATCTAGCCATGTCCGTCTGTCCGTCTGTCTGTCCGTCTGTCTGTCCGTCTGTCTGTCCGTCTGTCTGTCTGTCTGTCTGTCTGTCCGTATGAACGCTGAGATCTCGGAAACTATAAAAGCTAGAAGATTGGCATTTTGCATGCAGATTCTAGGAGTTCCTACGCAGCGCAAGTTTGTTTCAAAAAGGTGCCACGTCCCCTTTAACGCCCACAATCGCTAATATACGATTTTAAAATTTAAATATTTCGGAAAAGTAAAAATGCAGTTTTATTATACCCGTTACTCGTAGAGTAAAAGGGTATATTGTATTCGTGCAAAAGTATGTAACAGCTAGAAGGAAGCGTTTCCGACCCTATAAAGTATATATATTCTTGATCAGGGTCACTAGCCGAGTCGATATAGCCATGTCCGTCTGTCCGTCTGTCCGTCTGTCTGTCCGTCTGTCTGTCTGTCTGTCTGTCTGTCCGTATGAACGCTGAGATCTCGGAAACTATAAAAGCTAGAAGATTGGCATTTTGCATGCAGATTTTAGGAGTTCCTACGCAGCGCAAGTTTGTTTCAAAATGGTGCCACGCCCCCTCCGACGCCCACAATAGCTTATATACGATTTTAAAATTTTAAATATTTCGGAAAAGTAAAAATGCAGTTTTATTGTGTTTATCAATACCTATCGAAATGTAGAAGAAATTTTTCAAATCGGACCATTCGTTAAAAAGTTATGCATGATCAAAGTTTCGATCTCCATCTCCCTCGCACTCCCTTTACCTGAGTAACGGGTATCTGATAGTCGGGGCACCCGACTATAGCGTTCTCTCTTGTTGTGTTTATCAATACCTATCGAAATGTAGAAAAAATTTTTCAAATCGGACCATTCGTTAAAAAGTTATGCGTGATCAAAGTTTCTATCTCCATCTCCCTCGCACTCCCTTTACCTGAGTAACGGGTATCTGATAGTCGGGGCACCCGACTAAAGCGTTCTCTCTTGTTTTGATTGCACTACGATGCATATTTTTTTATATAATATAATATTTTGTAAAATTGAGCGGAACCTTTTCTGCCCGATTAGATGTGTAGCCCGTAAAGCTATGCAAAAAACTAGGTAGAAAGTTTGTTAATTTAAATGCGCAGTAATGCGATAAGTAAATTTTCAATAGAAGATGATAATAATTTTAATAAAACACTTTATACACATAAAATAAAAGTATATGCAAAACCCACCAAAATGACTTTGGACATAAAAACAGTGGATTCCACTGCCAATGTCATCAACAAGGTAGAATCTAGCAACATCAATCTATATTGGGTACATATACTCTTGATAATCATTGTTGTTATCATGTGCGTCACTCTCTTTTACAAAATTTACAAGCTGCATATTAATTGTATGAAAAAAAGGTATATGAGCCGGGGAAATGACCTGGATAAAATATAAGCAGCAAAATAAAAAAAATAAATAAAATAAAATAAAATAAAAACAGCACAAACTAAAGTGATTACACATAAATATATTTCATAAATGTTAACACCTAAAATATAAGAAAATGGAATACAATAAAAATGAATAAATAAAAATAAAAAAAATATATATTAAATAAAAATGGCTACACTAAAGGCAATCAGAGACACGTATGATAGGGACATTCACTTTAAAGAAAGAATTCTGCAATTAGTTTCAGCAACTTCAGTGAGCATTTATGGTTTAGAAAATTTATATATTGAAACATTTAATTTAGATACTTCTCCACTAATACATTGCACAAGCACCCAAAAGGGAATTGTATTATCCACTATTCCAGGCGTACAAGTTAGATCGGTAGTAGACGAGCACCCAATACTAGGTAGAGCAATAGTAATGACAGTTTTCTTTTAAAATTAAACGACAAAGCTCGAAGCACAAAGACCTAGTTGTAACACTTGTTAAATAGTATCAAAAAACACAAACTAAAATGGCCGATAAACCAAAACGCCCACTCTCCGCCTTCATGCTGTGGCTCAACAGTGCCCGCGAGTCGATCAAACGGGAGAATCCCGGCATTAAAGTCACCGAGGTGGCCAAGCGCGGTGGTGAATTATGGAGGGCAATGAAGGGAAAGTCGGAGTGGGAGGCTGCCAAGGCCAAGGACGATTACGATCGGGCTGTCAAGGAGTTCGAGGCCAACGGCGGCGGTGGCGGTGCTGCCAACGGTGAAGCCAAAAAGCGCGCGAAACCAGCGAAAAAACCATCCAAGAAGAGCAAGAAGGATGAGTCCGACGAGGACGATGATGATGAGAGCGAGTAGACTGCTCACCCAACCTCTATTATCCATCACCAAGTCACACACAACCAGCCAGATCCTACAATACAAAAACACTGGTGGCAACACCACATTCAGCATCAACATCCACAATCCCCCTTAATAGCACAGAAAGCCCAATCTGTCATCTCATCAACAAACAAGATCTGTTGAGGTTGCAACTAAAATTATACACACGAGAGAACAAAAATACGCGAAAATAAGCAAATCTGTATTTATACATATGAATTTAAGTTTATAGTAGTCGTTTCTTTTATAATACCCATAAACAAAGAGGACAGCCAACAGGAAAGGAGAAAAAGGAAAGAGAAGAAGGATGTACGTTCAGGTGTTTATTTTTTTCGATTCTGAGACGTTTCGCTAAGATAAGCGATGCGTTTGAGAAATTGGAGAGAAAATATATCTTGCATATAAAATTTGTAAAGTAAACGATAACATAATTCCATTAAAAATAAAAACAAGAAAGGAAAGCTAACTTCGGACGGAGCCGAAGTTGATATACCCTTGCAGAATACTCTGTAAATTATATTCTCCAAAATTATTCATATGATGCATTCTTAATACTCATAAAAAATCCCAACTTCCTAACTTTAAAAACACCAAAGTTATGGCATTTCCAATCGTTCAGTTATATGGCAGCTATAGGATATAGTCAGCCGATCCCTATGAAATTTGGTAGGTCGGATTGATTGGCCAAAAATAAAACCCATAGAAAATCCCAACTTCCTAACTTTACAAACACCAAAGTTATGGCATTTCCGATCAATCAGTTATATGGCAGCTATAGGATATAGTCGGCCGATCCTTATAAAATTTGGTACGTCAAATTGATTGGCCAAATGTAAAATCCATAGAAAATCCCAACTTTCTAACTTTACAAACACCAAAGTTGTGGCATTTCCGATCGTTCAGTTATATGGCAGCTATAGGATATAGTCGGCTGATCCTTATAAAATTTGGTACGTAAAATTGATTGGCCAAATGTAAAACCCATAGAAAATCCCAACTTCCTAACTTTAAAAACACCAAAATTATGGCATTTCCGATCGTTCAGTTATATGGCAGCTATAGGATATAGTCGGCCGATCCCGGCCGTTCCGACTTATATACTGCGTGCAAAGGAAAGAAGGGTGTGTGCAAAGTTTCAATTCGATATCTTTAAAACTGAGAGACTAGTTCGCGTAGAAACAGACAGACGGACAGACAGACGGACAGACGGACAGACGGACATGGCTATATCAACTCAGGAGGTGATCCTGATCAAGAATATATATACTTTATATGGTCGGAGATGTCTCCTTCACTGCGTTGCACACTTTTGACCAAAATTATAATACCCTCTGCAAGGGTATAAAGATACAAAAATTGCTAGTTGTTCTCTCGGTAGTTGGATGAAATCGATTCGATAATGATCAACCCCAGTTCTAAACTGACACGTATGAGGCTCGAACTAGAAGAATACGACTTTACAGTCGAATATTTAAAGGGAAAAGATAATTATGTAGCTGATGCGTTATCAAGGATAACCATCAAAGATCTACAAAATATAACTGGAAATATATTGAAAGTCACTAATAGATATCAAAGTAGACAAAAATTCTGCGCGGAAAATCAAGAACAAGAATTGCCTACGCAATCTCTAAATAAAGCTTCCAAGCCCAACGTATACGACGTCATAAACAATGATGAAGTACGTAAAGTAGTGACCTTGCAGATAAAAAATACGTTATGTTTATTTAAACAAGGCAGAAAAATTACTGCAAGATATGATGTTAGCGATTTATATACTAATGGAGTTATTGACTTAGATCAATTTTTCCAAAGGCTTGAAATGCAAGCCGGTATACATAAAATCAGCCAACTCAAAGTGGCACCGTGGGAAAATATCTTTGAACATACTTCAATAGATAATTTCAAATTAATGGGCAATAAAATCTTGAAAACATTAAGAGTAGCGCTACTCAACCCGGTGACCCAAATAACAAATTTAAAAGAAAAAGAAGCAATTTTGTCTACATTTCATGATGATCCAATTCAAGGAGGTCATACTGGCATATCAAAAACTTTGGCCAAAGTAAAAAGACACTATTACTGAAAAAGTATGTCTAAAGATATAACTGAGTACGTAAGAAAATGTAAAAAATGCCAGAAAGCCAAAATAACTAAACACACAAAGACCCCTTTAACAATTACAGACACACCAATAAATGCTTTCGACAGAGTAATAGTGGACACAATTGGTCCACTACCAAAATCAGAAAATGGCAATGAGTATACAGTCACTTTAATATGTGATTTAACTAAGTATTTAGTTGCCATACCTGTTCCGAATAAAAATGCTAATACTGTCGCTAAAGCAATATTTGAATCTTTTATCCTGAAGTACGGTCCAATGAAGACGTTCATTACGGACATGGGAACAGAATATAAGAATTCAATTATAGACGATTTGTGCAAATATTTAAATATTGAAAATATTACATCCACAGCACACCACCACCAGACAGTTGGAACAATAGAAAGAAGTCATAGAACTTTCAATGAGTACATAAGATCTTACATATCGGTTGATAAAACTGATTGGGACGTATGGCTTCAATATTTTGTCTTTTGTTTCAACACGACCCCCTCTATGGCACATACTTATTGTCCATATGAGCTAGTATTCGGTAAAACAAGTAATTTACCGAAACATTTTAATAGCATAGACAATGTAGAAGCACTATATAATATAGATGACTATGCTAAGGAGAGTAAGTATAGATTAGAAGTAGCCTATAAAAGAGCTAGAGTTATGTTAGAAGCAAAAAGAATAGAAATAAACTAATATACGATCATAAAGTAAGGGATATAGATATATCAGTAGGTGACCAAGTTTTATTAAAAAACGAGACAGGTCATAAGTTAGATCCTAAATATACAGGTCCGTATAAAGTAACGGAAATAGGAGAAAGAAATAAAATTATAATAATGAATAACAAAAACAAAAAGTTCATAAGGATAGATTAAAAACGTTTATTTCATAATTGCATTTAGCATGGCCATGCATAGAAATGCTTCTTTCTTAAATAAGAATACTATTATAAATTCCATTCTCTTTATATCAAAAAAAAAAATTTTAAAAAAAGAAAATAAAAAAAAATGTTTAATAAAAAAAAAATTATTATTATTCCTTTAAGTAAAATATACCAATAAAATAACTTCATAACATATTACGTTATTTTTCAAAAGGAGGGAGATGTAGTATGCGCATATATTGAATATCTACTGTAAACACACTGTAACACTTTGTTGCAGTGCATTCATAAAGGCCCGGTCAAAAAACCCAAGTGGCCGAACACGAGTTGATCGGCGCGTTAACAGAAAGTGCAAGTGTCAGCATTCTGTTACACGCGCCGGCCGAACTCAAGTGCATGCATATACCCTCGCGCTCCAGCTTAAGAGAGCATAATTTAATACATATAATATATAGGTACATAGCCGTCTCTCTGCCGCCGCCTGCGAGCAGCGCAGCTACGGGACTTAGCCTTAATTAGACTTAAAGAATATTGTAAAAGAACAGAGACATTTTGATCGTTGGAGCGGCACCTTTGCTGCTCCTACTAAATAAAAAAACACAAATTGGAACCAAACAGAATAAACTTATTTCAGTGTTTTAGAAAGGAGCATCGCGTTGATTTCGTTATCATTAATGAATTGACCTCAAGTTTGTGCCGTGGAACGCCGATGGTATTCCAAATTGCTTTACGCGGGGAATCATTGATTATTTTGGTAAGGTGTTTTGGAGCAACTGAATCAATTTTATGAACTCTTGCATACTTTGTTGCAGGTAACATATCAATATTTACATTTTGGTACCTGTCTGCTTAATAGGTTGATAGGAGGCAGCAGGTGATATTTCATCATTAAAGATAGTGCTGGCAAGGTTGGATTTTAGTACGCTCGCAAAGCTTACGATCTTGGAAACGTTTAAGCTACCCAATGAAGTTAAAATGAAAACGTCAGGGTCAGATTTCGAAGGTATCAATGGTGCTGTCTGGGACCGAGATGTAGAAACTTTGTGTTGGATCCGGCTTTTCAGCTCCTTGTAAACCGGACAACCTCTATAGTTTTTCGTGTGGTTACTTCCACAGTTTCCACATTTTTTATTGCTGGGGTCCTCTTTGTTTAATTTGCATTCCGCAAACGTGGAGCTCGCCACAAGCTACACATACGAGGCGAAGCGTGCATTAAGATTTCGTGTGTCCAAATTCTTGGCAATTTGTGCCATTGCGCTTATGCGGCTCCTCAACAGAGACTCTGCGGTGAAGTAAGTACTGGAGCTTGTAGATGGGATGCACTTCATTCCTTTTCCAAAGCTTTAACCACTGCACTGGTACCAGTTCCACTTTGAATAAGGGTTGAGAGCGTCGATTTCTATTAATTATGATGGTAACAGTTTTTACTTCAAGCCCCTTCTCCCTAAGTGCATGAGCTACTTCTGTTGGTTGTCTGCTTCAATGCCCTTAATTACTACTTGTTGGCCTTTGCAGTTTTTAAGCTGTTAACTGTATTAGTTCTTTTTTTGTCATCTTTGTATTTAGTCAGAATTCTGAACTTATCTTCGCGTTTAACTTGGACTTAAGTCTAATGAATATTGCCTTTTGTTAAGGGAATAACGTGAAAATTATCATTCCCTATATGTTTCAATATAGAATTCACGAGGGAGTTAGACGTTTTCTCTCGTATAAAAATTGGAGGCGGCTTTGGCTTTGTCTTATCCGATTCAATTTATGTATCGGGCAGAACATTGGACTGGTCCTCCAGAGTTGCAAATCTATTCCCTCTGCTAGTGTTTTCCACCGTAGGTTGTTTGGAGGCAACACGGTTAAGCTTTGCCGTATTGCCCGCTTTATTTGAGTGTAGCGGTCCATTCCAGCCTGCATGGTCGAACTTATTTTTGCCGGCAGTGCGCTGGTCAGTTTTGCAAGTTAGTCGTTGATTTGTGTTTTTTTTTGATTATTATTATTATTAAGTGCAAAGTCAATTACACCAATTCGCCACCCAAACACAGCACCGTTGTTTTTTTAACCAGTGTAATTACTTTGCTCTTACTTACTTTCTTGTG